TTTCAGGGTATCTCAGTGATTATTGTGCCTATCTTTGGGCAAAATTTCAGATCGAAATCTTGTAATTTGACTTTCTGGTGAATACCTGCCGATAGGCTGGAAATTCAGTAAAATGGTCATAACTCTTGACTAATAGGCCATGGGCACAAATCCTTCTGGGGTTTTCCTAGTCTCACTGAGAACTACTCATGGCCAAAATATGAGCTTGATCGGCGTTGGGCACTTGGGGATGTTCCCTCGTAAGCGTAAACTCTTATGTCTATATTTAACCCCTTATAAGTATATATTTTTAACTATGTTCTTATCCCTCTATATTTATATATATAGCCTAAGACGTATACCTTCATAGCTATTTTCTTAAACCTATCCCGTCCCATCTATACCCGTTCACTTGTATTTCTGTCTATATGGTTACCTGTGTACCCTTATACCTATGCTCTTGGATCTATACCCTTATAACTATACCCCAATACGTATACGCTCAACTTGAGTCTCACTCTTGATAAGATCAACATGGGGAACGAGTGTCCAATGGTGTATTATATAAGCGAGCAAAGTGGAATGAGAAATAGAGATAATAGCAGCAACTCTCTATAGCTAATACTTTTATAATAGTAAATCGAGTCTAATGACTTCTAATCCCGTTGACGCTTAACGATTGCAGTGTTTAGTGGTAGTGAAGGATAAACGAAAACATCATTCTAATCATGTAATATTAGATGATTTCAACGAATCAGGAACCATTTTGATATGCTGTCTAGGAAAATTGGTTTACATGAAACCTTTTGGCATGCAGCTGATATTAATGGTTTTGTAGAAAACATATGGATCCTTTTTCTTTACTCAAAGTACGAAAATAGTTCGGGACGAAAAATACGAAACCGTCTTATATTGTACGGAACTGTGAAGGGTTTCGTGTGAAAAGTGCGAAACTCTTTGCTTTTTTTCTGAACCTAGAAATCGTTTAGTATGAAAGATACCAAACCAGTCGAATTTTTCTGAACCAAAAAAGGTTTGGCAAGGAAAGTGCAAAACGATTTTCATTTTAAGAAACCTAAAAAAGTTCCGTATCCAAATGCGAAACTTGTAAGATTCAGTAATAAACCTATTCTTTTAGGGTGTATTTTGACCACATATCCATTTTTTTTGGAATATCCAGATTTATTAACCGCATTTGTTTTAACAACTAATGCATCTGATATTGATATCGGTGGGATTTTACGTCAAGATATATCACAAGGTACAAAAATTAATTATTTGAAATCTCGTGTCTTAAACGATATTGAGCGAAAGTATGATGCATTCGAAAAACAAGCTTTAGCTATTTATTGGTGTCTTACAGAGCGTCGATCCTATGTAGATGATTCTGATATTATTGTCGAAACTGATCATAAATCGCCTGAAAATTTTCACAAAAAATAAATTAATAATAAATGTGTGATGAATTGGCTCTTCAAAGAACAAGCTCTTTTACCGCAAATTATTGCAGTCAAATATTGTAAAGGTGCAAATAATACAGCTGATGACAACATTTCGCGACATTTTTCTCCTTCAGTAGTTAGCAATACTCGTTCCTCTCGTATCGATCAAATACATGATGAATGGCCAATTGGTCCTGAACAATGGTCCGAAGAAGCCCTCAAACCACAGCGTATACCACTTATTCGGCCATCGGTTTCAACAAATAGTCTTTCTTCTAGGACCACTACTAATTTAGAACTTAATGCCGTTACAACCAGAGCACAAGCTAAACCCCTCACTCTACAGATCCCATCTCCAACGACTAATTCACTAACATCCACCATAGTCCAATCTTCAGCCTTTTCTTCACCATCAACTAATCCACTCTATGATTTTAGTCTATCACTTATTTGTTTTGAACAAGAACAAGATCCGTTTATTCAAACAAAAATTCAACAAGTTCGCAACAAACAAAATCATCAAGGGTAAATCCATGGGTATCCAACGACTTTTTGGAAAAAGTTTTTTTTATCAATTATTTTGTACTGGTTAGGCGTATAGTGGACGGAATATTTTATACAAAGGTAGGTCAGCACTAGACTAGTACAACCTCCAAAGGATTCTTTTTCTCAATGTATTTTGACCGAAACATAAGATTTTTAAGGATAATGACATTTTTATAATTTGGACCGACCGGCTTTTTTCACAGTAAACACATAGAAGTCGTTATCCTTAAAAATCTTATATTTCGGCCAACACACATTGAAAAAAAGAATCCTTTGGAGGTTATACTAGTCTAGTGCTGACCTACCCTTGCATAAAATATGAGCTTTAAACATTCTAATGACATTGGTGATTCATCTCTTCCTTAGATGTTCCTTGAAATGACCTGAAACTACAGTATTTCAGATAAAGTCACAAAATTTTTCGGCCAAAGTTATTTTCTGTCCACTATACACCTAATCAGTACAAAAAATTCATAAAAAAACCTTTTTTCCCGAAAAGTGATTGGGTACCCATGGATTTACCCTCAATCATTTATTCTCTAGGATAATATCCTTTATAAATCAGTTCACAGAGGTAACATCAACATTATAGTAATTTATGTGCTGTTGAAATTAATTCCAGAATTACTCGAGGCTCATCACGATCATTCTTTAAGTGGTCATATTGACACTGAACGTACATAGTCTACGTTAAGAAACAAATATTATTGGCCGCGTATGAAAGAAACGATTATATCTTATATTAGATCATGTGATAAATGTTCAAAATTTAACATTAGTCGTCATAAGCCTCCGGGCTTCTGACAGCCAATTCAGCCGCCTAATGATGTATTTCAAATACTAGGTATGATTTCATAGGGATTTACAACAACTTCAGTTGCTGAAAACAGCTATGCCTTACTGGTAACAGATCATCTATCTCGTTATGTGTTTGCTAAAGTATCCCCAACAAATACTGCTCAAGATACAGCTCGTACATTAATGGAGGAAATTATTTTAGTTCACAGCCCTCTTGGCGTAGTTATTACTGACCAAGAAACACACTTCAACAATGAACTACGACATTCTGTCACGCATTTGCTTGGCTGTAAGCATACTTTTTCAACACCGTGTCATCCACAAACCAATAAACAAACCGAACGACGAAATTCAACACCTGTAACAATGATCAAAATAATTGGGATACATATTTACCATCTATTGTTTATGCCTACAATGTTCGTGTACGTAGTTCTAGTCGGTTCACTTCTTATTAACTTCCATTTGAACGACGACCACGCAATCCGTTCGATTCTACCTAATCTCCCTTTATCTTCAATAAACCGCCACGATTATTGGATACAAAATAATGAAATATCGGATTATAGCGTTACAACAAGCCCAAGACAACATTATAGATTAACAACAACTATCGAAAAGTCGTTTCGACATAAATCGAACACATCAAAACATTTACACTAGGTGATCATCAAGTAAAGTGGTGGAAAAAAGTTTAAGAACAAACAACGATTTGTTACACTATTATTTGAAAAACATTTTCGTTCACGAGCGAATTGCTCTACAACTATATTGTTTCATACTTCCAACTATATTCTTGCATATTTACAATCATTTTCTTACTGGTTTTCGAATTTTGAATGGGAATGAAAGCTATTAATTCATTCGTACGGGCTCAGGCTGTAGCCTTATACAGCAACAATAAAATATCAATGAGTATCGACGAAATAGCGAAGCAACTGAATATTTCCAAGGGGTGTGTGTACAATTCCATCAAAAAATATGAAGAAATTGGGGATTTTGTCGACAAAAAACGTTCGGATCGGCCTCCAAAAATTAGTGAAAGAGATGTACGGTATTTAAAACGACTTGTTAAGGGTGATAATAGACTGTCCTGCAGCAAAATTACACAGGAATTGAATCAAACTTTATCTAAACCTGTGACTCGAAGAACGGCCTTCAATTATCTCAAGAAAATGGGGTATGAATATAAAGTGAAAGTAAATAAGCAATGGTTGAGTGCAAAGCATTGTCAACAAAGGGTGGCATGGTGCAGACAATAATTTGGGGAGGAATATCGGGTTAGGGACCAACTGAATCAGAAATTGATGACAATAACATGGATGGACAAATGTATTGCAACTGTTTGGATGGTGAACTCAAACGATCATTGAATAATCTTCCAAATAAAGCTCAAATTCTCTACCAACAAGATCTTACTTCATGGCACACATCCAAAATTGTTCTAGCAAAGATCAAGAAAATGAAGCTTAATATGTCGGATTGGGCACCCAAGAGTTGTGACCTTAATCCTGGACTATCTGTACGAGGAGACAGTGATCTTGAAACTGTTCCGAAAGGTTTAAGAAAAGCTATTATTGAAGGTTATAATGTTAATTTGGTTCGTCTTCTTCTTCTCGAGACAACAAAAAATATAGCCGTAATGATGATGATGATGAAGACAAAAATGTTTATCTCAAACAAAAGGATGATCCTCGTTTAGATAAAAATCTTACTATTTCTGAATTT